GCTGTCCGTTGCCTCTTTTGTCGTCACCCGCCCACCGTCCCCTCCTCCAGGCGTCAGTGACGTGCAGCGAGAGAGCGGGACCTGCCCTCCCGTCGCCATTTTTCGGTCTCGTACTCGCTGTACTCGGGTGAGGGGGGGGACGAGCAGAATTAAGGGAAAGTATAAAATATAGAGTCGCCAAACCCCGCGTCCCTCGTGAGCAGTCGGGAGTGCACGCGAGAGCTACAGCGCGACGTACTGGCTCCTGAGATGCACGCGCAGGAGACAAGCCGCTGCCGTGAAATCATTTTTTGTGTGAAGAAGACGTGTTGCGGGCCGCCATTTTTAGAAAAGTCTACTCCGACTCGAGAAAGGGGATTCAAAATCGCATTTCCATGACGTGTGCCTTATCGTAAGATCAAGAAGATACGAGCTAATCATTTGATTTTCCGAGCCGCGGTGCCACTGGCGACGTTTGCAGACATGATGATTTTTTACAGATGAGAGAGATTTTTTCTCTTCGAGGAGAGGGAAAATAACCGAGGCCACCTTTTCCGTTCTCATAACTGACACTGACTGGAGGAGATAAATTAGAAAGAAGAGAAGAGCCTGGTGTTTTCTCGGAAGGCGGAACAAAAAAGGGAAGCTTCATTGATCATTTGTTGCTTCGGCTGTTCTCCGTCGGCGTTTTGTGTGTCGCTAAGTTGGTATTTTCCCCCGTTTTGGCCGCTCGAACAATCACTGAGCCATTGACTGCTGAACACAGGAACCACATTATGCTCCAAAGTTGGATCAAGCCAGTCGCAGCCTGCCTCTGAAAACGTCAGGTTGTTTTTGTTTCTTGGTTTGTTTTGTGTTTGTGTGTGTGTGAGAGTGTGAGAGAGAGAGGGTGTGTGTGTGTGTTTTTTTTTTAATCCGAGGTCTCCGGGGCCTGCAGCTTTTATGCAACATCTCCCAGGGCGACAAATGCCCTGCCCTGCATCTCCAAAATCCTCCAATTTGCTGTGATTGGCCAATTCCAACCACGCATACACCTTTTTAACTTATTTAGTCTGTTTTTGTAATTTTCTTATTTGTAGACTGCTATTAACTTATTTTTGAACGGAAATGTCAACTGCTCGGTTTGATTCAGCTGATCGGTCCGCCTGGTATTTTGGACCCGTGTCACGACAAGAGGCACAGAATAGGTTACAAGGACAGAGACATGGCATGTTTCTGGTTCGAGACTCGTCGACCTGCCCGGGCGACTACGTGCTGTCGGTGTCTGAAAACTCCAAAGTGTCTCACTATATCATCAACTCTTTGCCGAGCAAGAGGTTTAAGATAGGCGACCAAGAATTCGAGCACCTTCCTGCCCTCCTGGAGTTCTACAAAATCCACTACCTGGATACGACCACGCTGATAGAGCCAGCCCCCAGGTAGGGAAGTCACTCAGTAGCCCTTCCTCTAACTAAGCTGCAATGGTTGTAAGATGTGCACCATGAGAAGGTATCATATCATGAAATCTAGGTTAACTAGGTTGTCTATTTTTGTCATAACCAACCCACTTTCAGTCAGACTGCAGTGCCCTGCAGAGATGCTGTGAAGCATCCAGTTTGCCAGGTTTGAAGCTACACACAGCAAGACGTTGACCACACACCCAGTGTACTGTCTTTTAGAAAGAGCCTGTGTTTATTCTTTCAGGCTGGAAAAATGAACAATCAGTAGACAGATAGATGCTGGTGAAGTTTGTGGCTCGTGTGTTTACGCGCCGTTAGCCATGTGTGCTTGCATACAGCCACAGCTCTTGAATAGATATTACATTTTGCTCCTTCAGCACTCATGACAAAGTGTTTTGTGTCATTTCACATGCAACATTTATTGTATTTTATTCCCACCAGACATTGGATGTGAATATTGTTTCGTTATTAAAGCCATTTTTCCAGCTGCTTGTATACACTACATTAGTAAACCTTCATGTCCGAGAGTTCCTTGTGGAGGCACGTTTCACATTTCCACCAGTGTAAAATAGGCCATTTGACTTCATTTGATGGAATTGAACAAAAAATAGCTGTGATGCTTGAGGGGAAACCTGATCCATGATTTAATTAGCTGCACCATTTCTGAGTTTTCATATTAACCGCTTGACCGTGGCCCTCTATTTGTGCTAACCACATTATGTCTCCTTCCTTTCCTATTCTAATCTCTCCAGGTATCCAAGCACAGTGAGTGTTCCCATCCAGCCCATTGGTGCCCCAGAGGAGAACTTGGAGTATGTGCGGACTCTATACGACTTCCTTGGCAACGATGCAGAGGACCTTCCCTTCAAGAAGGGGGAGATCCTTATCATCCTGGATAAGCCAGAGGAGCAGTGGTGGAGCGCCAAGAGTAAAGACGGACGTATCGGGATGATCCCTGTGCCCTACGTGGAGAAACTGGTACGACCTTCCCCTCACCCCGGCCAGCCTTCCCATGGATCTCGCAACTCCAACAGCTACGGTATCCCAGAGCCCTCCCACGCCCTTGTCCACGCCTATGCCCAGCCACAGACACCTTCGCCATTGCCACCTGGCACACCTGGAGCTGTTATCAACCCCCTACCGTCCACGCAGAACGGGCCCGTCATGGCAAAGGCTATCCAGAAGCGAGTGCCATGCGCCTACGACAAAACAGCGCTTGCTCTAGAGGTATTGTAAAATGGGATTTCACTTCATCCCCTCTTTTTTTATTATTTGACTGAAAAGGACTTGTAATACTGAATGTGAATTCATTCAGGGCTAACTAACCTTTGGTTCCATTTAGGTAACGTTACCAAGCACAAAAATCTAACATTTTTTACAGGTTATGTGAGAAATCCAGCATAGTGTTATAGTAGTGGTACCTTTGATTTATAATGCACCATCATGCACTAAATCTCCCCACTAAGTGCCAGGGGCATGACTTGCTGTCTCAACACCAGACTGAACAGCAGTGTTTTGCTGGCTTCTCTTATTAAAAGTTTCAACCCTGGAACTCACCTCTGACCTCTGTGATTGGGTGTGGTCAGAAGTGTGCAGTGATGTCACAGAGTACTGGAGTCCACCTGTCCATCAATGCAGCACGGTGAGAAGTTAAACCACTGGAGAGAAAAATCTTTTTTCATGGGGTTTTAAAGTTGCTCTCTAAAGCTGCACTACTGCACAGAAGCCATTGACCCAACATGTCTAGCACAGTGCTAAAAAGCTGTATTGTTTAATTTTATTGTTTGTTAAACAGTAATTCAGACAGACAGAATATTTATTGCTCCTCAAATCATCAGGTCCTGGCTGGGGACTGTAGTAGGAAAAGCTGTAGGCATGTAAACAGTGACCGTCTTTAGCAGTATGCTGTTGCATAAACAAAACTAACCAATCATAAGAGATAATGGGGCAAAATAACTCATTTATTTTCACTCTAACTTTATTTTTGGAAACGTCTCACATTTGGACAGTCCCCAAAGAACACTTGAAAATCACTCTACAGTTGATTGAATTAGAATTAATTCATAGAAACTGTTGGTGTCACACCTAAAGCAGCAAACACTGCACCATTTCTTGTAAAGCTAACTGCAGTCGGCATTGAAATTGCAGTAGTCAGTAGCTAGCAATGAGAACAGGGGAAAACACCAGTCCTGCCTACAGAGTCACCACAGCAGCCTCGCTGGTTCTATGTGTGAAAGTGTCTTAAGACAACTTGCAGCTCTTCTCCAATCCTCTTACATTAAAGGCCATGCTCTCGCTGTGTGGTCACACCAAAAAATTCATATCCAGACAACAGGTCGCTGGCTTCCTGTTGTTGTAGTTCTTTACAAGAGGAAGCATTATTTTAGCTGTTTATTTTTGCTCAAGTGTTTATGGTTAGGAGAAAGCAGACCCTGGGGGCTTCTTGTTTATTTGCATTAAGTTGACCTTCTAGCAGCTGTCTAGCCCCCAGTGGCTCAAGCTCAGTTGTCCTGCTAGCCAGCTACTGTTGAACTGGCAGCAGCTCGGTCAGCAGCACTGTTTCATCTCACCGTTCTGTTGCATTTCTCAGCGGTGCACTCTGGCTAATGCAAATCTGCTTTGACTGTGGTAACATGTCGAAGCATGTGATGTAATGCACAATGTGCACTACTAATACTGGAGCTCCAAAATGCTTCACTCTGATAGCAGACTGAGCTTTAGTGACGCCCCCAGGGGAGAGCTGAAAATGAAAGGTATCTTAGCGTATCTCTGCTGCCGTTCACTGACATCAGAGTGCGCCAGTAGATGGAGGAAGTAAACTGGGCCTCTACAGCAGTGTACAGTGAAACACGTCCCTATGACTCTCAGAAATGAGGATGTACATTTGGACTATGAGCAAACCTGGCGAATAGTATTTCTGCTAAAGTTCAGACTCTCTCTCTAACAACTCTCTAACCTTAGTCCTGTCTTCTCTGCTCTCTTCCCACTTTACCAATAACTAAGAACAGCAATCACCTCAGGCAATGTCTAATGCCTCATTCAGACACTGTGACGCAAGTTGCATTGGTCAACCAGACACGTCAGCCGGCTTGGGTCTACATCCTCCGCTGCCCATCACTGCCAATCTTTTGTCAACGGCTGTACTGAGAATAGAATGGAAACTTGTATTAGACTAAATGTTCATTTAACCAACTCCACAAAGACAGACAGATGGGTCAGTAGGGAAAGCAGTGTGCACAAATGGGCAAGCATGTGAGAAATGAAACGGAAACGTGAGTTTAGTTGGCACTTAGAAGTATTTTCAGTGTGTACCACCATGTATTAAAAAAAGATGTCACATGTATCTTCTAATTCTAGAGCACCCTTGATTCACCAAAGTACACCCCATATACTGCTTCACATCAACATTTATAAATGCAGCAGCAAGGACACTATCTTAAACCTTACTTTTGCTCCAGTTATTAGTTTTGTTCAACAAAAGTTGGCGATGTCCCAAGCCCCCATCAGTGTTTTTAAGCTGATTTAAGATATTTTGTATTGAGTCACTATTACTCATAGTGAGCCCAGTTCATTTAAACTCTTCCTTAATGTTAGCTAGCTGTAGGCCCACTGTTCTCCTTTTTGAAACACCAGAACATGTGAGCAAATGCAAAGTAGCAATAAAGGTCTCACCCTGTGCGTGTGCGTGTGCGTGTCAGTGTGAGGTGCTGCTGTGAGATATTCACATTGCCTCTTTTTTCAGACACATTTCTCAGGCCTACATTGCCACGCCTCGAATGTGATGTTGTGAAAACTATCTCAACTTCCATTTTTTGCTAATCCTGGGGATGAAGAGAGGCTGTGCAAGTGTGTGCTACTGCAACAGTTTCAGACTGGTACTATATCCACAAGTCAAGACTATAGACAAAGTCTGTAAGAAGCATCTAGAGAAAAACTGTGATGCAAACTGCATAGTCTTAATGATAGATTGACTTGTGATTGTTCATTTTGATTCTCAAATGTTTTCTTGTAAATTGGTCCTCTTAGATGCATCTCTGGTTTCTCCTCATACCAATCAACCCGCCTTACTGTCAGGGCTGTGTGATATCCAGACCTGCTGTGTGTTGCTCTGGAGCATCTTAGTTTATGCTGTTTGATGCCGGTGTCATCCAGGGTTTTAGGAATGACTACAAATTGTGGCAAGCTTGAACCTAACGCGGTGCAGCTGTCACTTTGCTTTCCCCCGGCACACGATACAATGGGGACAGAGGCTCCAGGTCTAGTGCTCGCTCTAGTACTTACTGTGCAGCTGATGAGCAGAATCTTTCCTACAAAGATTGATGTGAAGGTAACGCAGCAAACTTTTTGTTTCTTTTTCACCAGCTATAATTAAGAAATACAGATGCTGCTGTCATTGCAAGTGGTTTTGTGTATGTATGTATGGTTCCCTGATGACTAAGCAGATTATAGAAACATTTCATTTTTCTCCAATTGTTTACTGAGTTGCAGTGCAGGTGCAATTGCTGCCTTTGTTCTTCACTTCCCTTCACATCAACCCGGGAGTACTGAGGAAAACCCGTATCCATTGCATCTGTTTTCGGAATTTATATTCATCTGTTATCTGTCCCCAACAATCTCACATTTTAGTGCGCAAAATCCTTTCAGAATTGTCTGCTGCTCTTACCTTTCACTGTTGTGTGGTATTAAAACTTTGTGACCAAGTATTTTTCTGAAGCGTGAGCTCCTGAAATATTCTGTTGATCTGCTTTAAAGTGTTTGGAAAGAGATACAAGAAAGTACAAAAGCCAGAATTTTGCACTTACACAACATTGAGTAGTTTGTGTTGTAATTACTTTTAAGTGAAATAAGGAAGCCAACAGAAACCCTAGAAACCAGTCACTAGAAAGAAACTAGCTGAACCCTACTATTTCCTGTGGTGTTTTAGATTTACTGATCTAAAACTTACTTTGCACACAAAACGCATACCATATCGTGTCTCATCATGTCTCCTCTATCCGTCTCTGTCTTTGGGTCAGAATAGATCATAGATTACAGCAAGACCTCTCCAGTTTTGTACTGTGGCTACTCTGGGGTTGAAGAAGCAAAAGCTATGTGTCATTATTTATGAACTTCAGAGACATGAAGTCCACAACAACTGAAATAAGGTTATTTAGGTCATTTCGTGTTCATTTTTCTAGCATAGTACTTGTTGGTTTTTTTCATTAATGCTTTCTTAATAGATTCTTTGATGTGATTATGCTATAATTCTTTTGTGTGTGTGTGGTCACAGTAAATTTTGATACTATTATTTATTATAGTTAGAAAATGCTCCATGTACTAGGTTAACAAGGACTTATTTGACATACTTTAACAATTGTAATCAAAGTCTGCATTCATAACAGCCAGCCACTTCTGAAACTTCATGGAATTGAGTTGTTAGTTATTGTTTCCACCTTTTCTTTCAATCTAATTTCACTACAGCATGAATCATTCAAACAGGCTGATTGACAGGGGATTTTCATAGAACCTTTTAATGACTAAGTAGCATTCTTGTCATTCCAGGGAGTGTAAAGGGTTATTGTTACAGATAATGTCTTGGACGAGATGTCCTTGAAGCCTCATTCTGAGGTGAAAGCTACCACATTCACTTTTCAATCATGGTTTTGATGATGGAGACTTTTCCCTTCTAATCCTGATAAAGAACATATGGCTTTAACAGATTGGGGTCACATTCGGTGTCACACACCCATCTGAGCGACAGCTCTGTCGTCTGTTCCACGGCGTAATGCGCATGTGCAAATCTGATTTTAAAAAGCGTGTTCATAACTCGGTTGTACTGGATGTTGTGTGAAGCTCTCATGTATAGTTGCTGGTGTCATTTAGAGTAGGTTTTAAAATAAAAATTGGCCATGTGCCAAACGCATTTTGTCTTTTTTCTTCAGGCTATGACAAATGTTGCCTTAGCTGTGCTGTATCTTTACAACAGAGTCTGGTGCAGCACTTAATTACCAGCTTCAAATTCAAATTAACCTTTTGGCTTAGTCATTTTATCTGCAGGTGCATTGTGTGAAAATTGCGCTTACAAACTATATTTCACTGTTAAGTCATTATATAACTTCTTCGCTCCAGCAAATGGTGTAGTGCAGCCATCCGTGACCAGGAGGTAAATGTTCCTGTTTAAAGTCCTGTTGGTAGAAATGGAATGTAATAGTCATAGGTAAGTATTCATTAGTGTGTAATCACCTGACAATAAGAATCTGTGTGTTTTCTGTTACCTTTTCCTTTGTAGTCCACCATGTTAAAATGTTTCTACAGTAGCCCAGAACAGACAAACCAAACACTGGCTCTAGATGGGCCTTTTCGCAAGTTCCGGGCCCCTTTAGTTTCTCTGAAACGCTTTGAAGGTTGAGCTGTATTCAAATGGTTGCAATCTGCTGGATGCTACTGAATCCTACACACTGCTGTGTCATCACCTTCTGACCACTTGACTGAAGACAGAGATATTTTTATCTTTGGGTTTCTTTGTAACGCATGTCTACACGTCTGTACTATGAAAAACTCACGCCACACCGAAAGCCTTTTTTTATGTAATGCATGTAGTGAAACTGTTCCTCCTGTAACTCAACCCTTCTGTCCTGTCCTCAGGTTGGTGACATCGTCAAGGTTACGAGGATGAACATCAGCGGTCAGTGGGAGGGAGAGGTGAACGGACGGAGGGGTCTCTTCCCATTCACCCACGTCAAAATCATAGACCCCCAGAATCCGGATGAGAGTGACTGACCTAAGAGTTTCGACTGGACCCTCTCGCCAGTATCGACCTGTACCTGAATGTGCTGGCTGTCTCCAACCTTTCCCGCCAGTGTCACCACGGTTACGTGCTTGCCTGCTTGGGGCTGTACAATGATAGCGACCCCTCTGTTGTTGCCAACCGTTGCAAGGCTTTCTGACTGTTTACAGCTTTTGGACATTGGATCCAAACAAAAAAAAAACCTGACCCCACTTCTCCTACTTCCCCTTTCCTGTGTCTTGGTTCCAGGCTGGGCAGTGTTTTTGCATTAGTGTCCATCAGTGAGAGTGCATGAGTGAGTGAGAGAGTGAGAGAGTGAGTGACTGTGTACGTGTGTGTGTGTGTGACACAGTAGATATTAACCACATTAGATCACGACAGGTCTGTTTTTATTTTTTATTTGATTCTGAATATTTGTTATGTTTGAATTCTTGGGGACTTTAGAACGAGTCGGTGTGTGTTTGTTTTGTTGATGTGAGGATATTGGTACGAAGCAATATCCCTATGGACTTGGGAGAGCACTGAGACAATGTGGAGCTAACCAGCCAGTCAAATGTTATTTCTCCAAACCATCAAGTCACCTTAACCATCGCACACAAGCACACACACACACACTTATTGGCCATGAGTTATTGAGGTTGCTAGGTTTTTGATGTGCATGTGATGTGTGACTGGAGCAGGAAGCAGGAGAGCTGGGCTTGTGGAGGATATAGTCCGGTCTCTAGCCCATCCACTCTCCAACCTGACTTATTTATCGTTTTGTTAATAATAAATCATACGGCCATGTGATTTCATCTTTTTTTTTTTTTTTT